TTTCACGATAAGAAAGATACAAGTTATAACCATGTTTCAGATATACATATGGGCAATTCTCCAGGAAGGACTACCGCGGCCAAAAACTTAAAATTGCTTAAAAACGAGTATTTTTAACATGATTACATAAAAAATTGGTCAGGATGATCAAGACTAAGAGAATTTTTCATTTTCTAAAATAAGTTTCGAAAAAATCGATGTCAAATACGCGCAAACGCAAATAATGTTGTTTTTATAAAAAAAAGGCATAAAATATGGCATGTTTTGTTTTGATGCCAATCTCTTAAATCGAAGCATTTTGCTTTGACTTTTGGTTTCTAATATGACATAAAAAATCAAAAAGTAAATATAAAATGTAAAAGGACATATGCGATTACCAATAGTCATACAGTTTTAATTTAAATTATCGCTTTCCAAAATGTCGCGTGAGACCGGGACTAAAATTGAATTTAAAAAATAACTACTTAATATTTTTAAATCAAACAAAATACATTATTAAGAGAATTCATCGCGTAATTCATTAAAATTTATTGTACTACAATTTTTCATCACGTTTCGCTGAAATCAGAGCTTAAACTGTTTTTTTGCAAATGAAACTTATATTTTTGTCGCGTGCGAACGCTGTACATTTTAGTGAATATCTTGAAAACAAACAAGGGTTCAAAATCGACCTTAGCACCAATTATAGTGCTAACCAAGAGCTATACGTTTAAATTTTTATAAAATGAAAATAAAGTCTTGGCACATGTGTTTTTTTAGTTTGAATGCGTACGAATGTCGCATTCGACACCAGAGAATTGCCCATATACTACCTAACATATGTCTCGGTTACGAAAGAGGTATCTAAATTCTTAAATTTGTTTTTTAAGACTTAGAGCATTCATATGATAAGTTTAAGGACCTTTAAAATCTTCTTTTTCTGATAATGAGAATCACAGTACGGGCATTTAATCAATTATTTTTCATGTGTACCTTATAAATTAAAAAATGTTTAGCTTAGCGTGAATTTAGGTTAGGTTAGATTGAACCGGACCGCCCCTGTGGGCCCACGCATAGGTCAATATGGCCCTTAGTTGTTCGGATGCGTCATCTTGAAGGTTATTAACTAGTGATGCCAGTACTGGGGAGCCCTTATATCTGATCCTTGTCTGCGTTAGGGCTGGGCACTTACAGATGAAAAGCTCCAAGGTTTTGGTTGACTCGGAATCATCGCATTTCCTCGAGTTGCCTTTTTCGGTGATGCCCAACCTTACTGCACGTTTCGGAACCAGGAAATGACCTGTTAGAGTTGCTGTACATTTTTGGAACTGACCGCTGACGACTTTATAAATCTTATCGCCGCTTGACTGTCTACGAACAAGAACGTCTTATGTGGACGTTCTATGCTCTAAGGAAGCTTTGCCAATTTCCTGATGACGAAACTTAACCTACAGCCTTATCTCTGATCTTATATGACCGCTCCAACTCATCCCTCTACCTTTGAGCCGTCAGTGTATATGTTGAGGTATTGAGAATGGTCTTGCAGTTGACGTCCGGGTTATTTCTGTGTATTAGCTTAGCTTATATGCCGGTCAATGTCTGCCGCTGAGTTCTCCATAAACTTGTTGTACGTCTTCTTTTCCATGACTTGCCACTACACTAAGTCTGCATACAGTAGAGTCTAACACACCACCGATATGTAGACCCAGTGCATTACAGCGGGCGACCACTTATTGAATGTCTATGGTAGTCCTTCCACCCTCCTAGTACATCGGGTTTACGTTTTGGGGGTACGTTTAAGTCACTTCTAGGTGGGCCCTTATTGTGCCTCTATTAATATTGTTGAATGCCCCAGAATTATCCACCAACCGTCGAGAGAATATTTCTTATTGTGTAGGGACCTCTCAATCAAAGGTATCTTCTAATTTCCCTTTTGTGGAGGCATGCTGGTTGGTTGATAGTAGTCTCCCCACATCGTTCCTGATAAAAGGGTCCAGCTTTTTTTTTGTCTTCTTCTGTATGAATGAGAAGAGGCTTATCGGTATGCTCCATGGCTGCATTTTCTTGCTTCCGAGAGCTACTTCTTTGGATATGGTAGTTATGTTTAAGTGTTGCTAAATTCCTAATAAATTAATATTTGAGAATTTGTAAAAAGACAAGTAGCAGCTGTGGTTACGATCGTTTCATTGACGCTGGCCAAATCAGACACTTGCCAACTATCACATCTTTTTCTGCGCTCGGTGCCTTACACAACATTGCGAATAAAATTATAATATAAAAATAGAATTATAAGCGTCGATGCGAGGCAAAAGCAGACAATAAGCCCCGATAATTGGCAAAAGTTCAATTCGTTGTTTTCGAACCACTTGATTTTTGGCTTGCATTCTATCAGACTGCTAGTGGCCAAAGATAAAGTTCGATACGTATGGTGCCGTAAACTTTTCAGGAGCGTGGGAGAGACATCGGTTCAAATGTTTGTTAGCATTATTTATACATAAAATGTTTTTAAAATCAAAATTATGCTTACGCGCGAAAACAACTGTTTGTAAAGATTTAACACTCAAAGCTTCAAAAGTAAAGGACTCATAGCCGAGACCCATACCGAGGTGATCCAAATCGCCGTGTGCTCAAAGACCCCTTCTCCGGCTGCTCCTTCCGTCTACGCCCCAAGACCCTGAGTGCCTTCATGAGGGGCGCGGCGTATATGGCTGCAGCTGCCCAAACTCTTTGGTCTTCCAGCATCGTCCCCGTCAACACCTTCGAGCTCCTCAAGCTCCTGATGCCAGAGACACACTGAGGAAACCAGTCCACCGCCTCAAGGCCGAAGCGCCTCAGATAGCTGAGGAAGGAACCTTGAACACTTAGCGCCACCTACCCGTGCGACCTCTCCACCCACCCCGACATGTGTGGGATAAGGGTGTGCGTCCAGCGGCCCCTTGGTGAGGAGTTCTATCTACTCTGCCACTTCTCCATACTTCTCCTCCTGGTGGCAGAGCTGGGCTCTGGTCAGCTATTCTGCATCTCTGGCGTGCGAGGCTGTGTAGATCTCCTTACTCTTTCTTACAAGCTTAGTGAGCGGAACTTGCTCCGAAACACAGACGCTATTCTGATGGCGCACAGGCCGTATGTCGTCTCCACACCTAGCTCTTTAAATTGGAGGCATCCGCCTCCTCTTTCTTGCCACCAATTTATAGGCGCCCTGAAGAGTGGAGCTTTTGGTTGCTGTGGCTGCAAGCGCCTTCCAAAGCGTCAACCAGTTTGTTGGTCATTTCGTTTGCTCCGTCAGGCACGACTGCCGTGAAACTCTCAAGAGCGTTTGCAAAGGCCTGCGACTTTAAGATGTGTCCGGAAAGCTTTCTTGGGCAAGGGCGGATTACCTTTGGATCGGCCAGCGGTACTATATGGCCTCGTAATCCCTGATCTTTCATCTTTCGCGACGGGCGAAAGTGAGGTGGATGATGGAACCCGAATCCATTCCTGTCCTTCCAAAGCTCTGTCGCCTTCATTAAGAAGGATTACGTCTAGAGAGGCAAAGGTCTGCAGCACAGCTCGGCCTCTGGCACTTGTCCAGATGACCCATTCCATGGCCTACGCGTTGAAGCCGACCACCAAATTACTCCGTCCTCGCAAGTCGCTTCACTGCTCGTCTAGTATCTTGCCGAAGGATTTCAGCGAGAGGTTGGGTGCTAGCTAGCAGCTGTATAGCCAAATGCCGTTTTCCTTCCGCAGAGCCACAGACCCGCCCTGTTAAATCTACCCTGTAGGATTGCTACCTATGAGCGGAGCTCGCGTACCGATTGCGACAGGAAATACTACGCTGATCCGCAGTGATTTAAGTGCAGATGGATCAACTGAACTTAGGCCTATGGTTACTGATGCGACTGTTTGCGGCTGCACAGCCTCTGCCATCTGCCTGATACCTCGTCTCCTTCTTTCCAGCCGCTGCGGCATCGCGGCTTCTTGAGCATCCAATTGAGGTTCCGCCCTAGACATTAGTTTGTTTATGTGTAGGAGTATATACAGCGATTTATGTAAATGGTCGATGTTCGATTCAGCTGAGATCGCACGACAAAATCAAAATTAACAGTTTGTTGCTTGCATAGTTTGTTCATATACAAATCATATATGATACAGTTGTCCGATGTTTATAAGATTAAAGCTGTAATTCTTATATAATAAAAAGGACTATACCTTTAATTAAACGATATATGTTTAAAATTAAAATAGTTATAATTCGTTTTCTAACATTTTTTATCGTGTCTATGGTAGCTACAAAACGATCAAAACTAAAACGAGTTCAATACTTTAGCTTTAAAGGACTGTATGTTCTGTTGTAATTATTGCATGCTGATAGTCTTATTCTTGTTTTTATTGGCAGACAAAACACTATGTCTATTGAAAATGTTAAGCAATTTAATAATAGAAAAAGTTATTATTTAAGAAAAATGAAAGGTTTCAAATTAAAGCATTGAACGTGTTGCAGTGTGGTCTCCAGTGAAAAGTACATACTTGTCCGATCCCAACTGTTCCGACATACATATTTCTTAGTGTAAGTATATAGAAGACTGACTGCAAAGTTTAATTTAGATAGCTTCAAAACTAGTTTGTGTAGAATCGGACAGACGCACGGATATAAATAGATTGACTCGGCCGTTGATGCTAATTAATAATATATATACATTATATAATACCCTGTAAGGTTATAATTATTGTATGCATGTGTATGGGAATTTCTACATAAAAGTCAACAGCTTGCCGCAAAACCGAAAACGATAAAGCATACAAAAAAATTAAATCTTATTTTTTTGTTAAATTATCATGATTTCAGCAAATGATCAAATCTAGGACACATTATAGTGCTAAGCTAGATTATTAATTAAAAATTTACTTAAAAAACACAGGATTTGCATACCTTGTTTTTCTTTAAATGCGAATGTAGAGTTAGAAATAATAGATGCCCATAATAATTTGTTCTACCTGGGCAGAGCTGTCATCTAAATGATTGCAGATTCATATCTTACCTGCAACAGAACTCCCTTTATTAGATGGGTCGTGATAAGAGTCAATTCCGCATATCATTACATTTTTAAATGGAATTTTAACGGTCCACAAGGATCCTCCAATTTTACAATTCATTTGTAACACAATTTTTTGAACAATTGAACGATTTTTTGTTTCATTCAATAAGGTTTTTGCGTTTATAACCTAAAATAGAAAGTAAATTTACAATTCAGCAGCGGTATATTAAAAACAAATAACTTTTTCAAATTTTACGGTTATCATTCATTAGTATGACATCAATTTTTAACTTTTGATGGGAAGCAGCAGAAAAACATCTAAACAACACAAAAAATGGGCGTTAAAGCCCTATGACAGACTGGAGAAATTTCCTCTAATATGCTGCCCCTAATATGCTAATGTTAGTAACATTTTAAGTTGTTGTGTTCAAATCGTATAAGTTTTAACTCTAAAGCGCTTGAGCATTTATAAGATATCTAACAATGGTGCATACCGCAAATATGCATATCGTAAATATGATACTTTCTTTCAATGAGGTATTTGTGTATGGATATAAATAAGACTCACATAGTATATAAAGGCAATGACTTGCACCTTTCTATAATGGACTATGCAACGCAAGTTAGATAGAAGTCTGCTAGAATAGTGGGGTAACCTTGTGATTATTTAACTAAAAATTTAGATTTAGACGGACACCAAAATTGTGAACTGGAGTCATTCTTTCCAAAGAGCAAAAGTTTAGCATATAAGTGGCAAGTTTCTGATTTTTTTATTTTTGAGTTATTGAGATAAGTTTAAAAAAGCTACTGGCGGTTAAACGGTTTTAAATCTAAGGGGACTTGGCAAGAAATAAAATACTTTTGGGGTCAAAGCATTATTTTTAAACGATCGAGAAATAATTACAATTAAAAATAATAACTTTTTATGTTCGGACACAACTACTTCACAGCGTTGCAAACTTCTGCAAGGGTATAAAATCATGCTTGTTTTTTGCACAAAAACAATTAATTTTAAAATTAGGGTTGCTGGGTTTCATTTTTCAAAAATTGAAAAAAGAACGTGAAGAACCAGCTAAACGAGACTGTTTCTAAATTCTTATCACATAAGAGCAGAGGTTGCTTTAAATTATAAAAAAAATATTTTATTTTGAATGGGGCAGCGTTCAACTCAGGTATCAGAATATCACGATTGCCACCTTGCTGAACTGAGTATCACACATAAGACCATCCCTGCTGGAGATAATTTCCTACCCTGGAGCCATTAAGAATGCTCCGGTGAGCAAGCGCCAACGCGGGCCCAACAAGGCAGGCCTTCCATAAATACGGTCTGCTGGTTGGAAGCGCTGTGGAAGGGAGCCAAGCGGGAGGTGGTGGATAATCCAGTCCATTCCAAAGGTACTATTCTTTTCGATCTGGATCAAGAGCCATGGACTGCCTTGTGCAATGCTGTTACATTACAACCTACTCTACCCACGTTCGTTAAGCAGGAACAGAACCGCCGTACTACTACGGAGTGTCTTCATGCTAACCTTATGTCACATTACAGCTCTGATGACCTGACTGTGGTGATGATAGAAAACGAGAGGAAGAGCCTCCTGTCTACGACAGAGGTATTCTGGGGCACGGTAGAAGCCAGAATACCACTGCGTGTGGGGGAGCCCCGGAATAAAGGATACAGGTGAGTAACTCTAAGACTATATACTTTCTACTAACTTACATTTAGCAACAGTAGGGGGGAGCACGCCTTCGTAAGTCCCACCTCGTCAAATGTGCTTGGTTTAACACTCAAAATGGTACTATGGAGAGTTATCGAGTTATCCTTCTCAGACTCAGCTCCTGGACCTTTACATCTGGAACGATGTAAGGAGACTACTGTCAACCAACCAGCATGCCTTCACTAAAGGGAAATCAGTGAAGACGGTCTACATTCATTAGTAGACACCATTAGTAGTACACAATAAGAAATATGTTTTTGGAGTGTTTGTAGGTACGCAAAAATTACCCGCATAGAAGCGATCAGTACGTTACCAGACATCAACCTCTGGATAAGTAACATTGTAAGTTGTAGGCGGGTACAATACGATTGAGACACCACCTTCATGCTAAAAGGTGCGGAGCGACACAACGTGTGGTCCTGTGGCCCCTTCAATGTAATCTGCTTGTCGACGACCTGCTCAAGAGATTCGAGAGGAAAACCCCGATTCAGACGACATAAGCATAATGATCACGAAAATCATATATCATATATCATACACCAGCAAAATCCAATAATTTTTTTTTTTTTTTAGAAACAATTTAGAGCGGAAGTTACGGCGAAAAATCTATTTATCTTAAAAATTCGCTATTTTCGGCTCTCTAACAGTTTGTAACCCCTTAATTCATAAACAAATGAAAAAATGCATAACGAATTTTATTGCACTTTGTTTATTCTTTATTCTTATCTCTTACATATGACAAGCCAACAAGAACTAACAAACCGTTTTGGCATTCGGCTACAGTCAAAAATATACGACTCAATGATTCGCATTCTCATACTTTCACTTCGTTTTTATTCGTTTCTCTCGTGTGCCATTGAGTTCAACGTGAGCGGATTCAGTCACTCAAACCGGTTTGGCTTCACACTCAACTTCACTCAATTCAGTTTCCGTATTGTGCAGCTGAGTGCTTTTTTTTCGGCATTCATGCAGATGTCTAATAGCCATTCACAGTTTTTAAATGTGCAAATGATTTTGGTCCTCGTAAATTTTAAACAGCATTCGCAAATAAAAACATTAATCATTTCTAAGATGAACAGTATACATGCGAACTAGTGCATCAGTGGAAAACACCTGTGGCCAATCTGAAAAATTCCTCGTTTACGACATTGGAATTTCTTTGTTAATTCCAAGTGTAATACTTGGGTATTTCTACGTACATAAGCGTCGCTGCGAATGGGTCTGCTTCACACATGGCAAATAAGCTAGTCAATGTTGTCGATGGTGGTCTCTCAGCTCGTTGTGCCGCATTTACCGACGCAATACCAAACACAGCTATGTGACATACTTGCACAAATATTTGATTAATGACAACTCTGAACGTTTGCATTTGTTTCGAAAATTTGTGATAGCAGCGGGCAATATGGTACAGTGAATTCATTTCCAATCTCAATCTCTTGATTTTGAACTTTAACATTGATAGTTTGACCATTATCTTCATTTGATATTGTTCCTGAATTTTCATTGCTATAAGCCTCACGGAGAGCGAAAATATACAAGATACTGCAAAATAAGTCAGGCCATGCTCAACACCTTATCATATTCACTGATATCTAAAATATGAAAGTAGTAGAAGCGGGTACATACCTTACAGGACCCGACACAGAGCTACCAAGCTATCAAGAGAACCGCGTAACCAACATTAAGGTCCATACAAAAACATTTCGACAACTAAAGGTCATTGGCCTATGGATGGCCTTAGGACTGCCGTCCGATCTAACCTATTTCAACAAGTGTAATAATTTTCCTTGAAAATCTTTTTAGTTTATCAATAATAACCAGAATTATATAACGGATTATATGACCACCCTTTTTTGCATATTTTTGAAAATTTTTTTTAATATCTTAGCAAACAGGCTAATGTCATATTTTCACTAACATTTAATAAAAAAAACGTATATTTTTGCTAAAAAATTTTGTTGTGTGAATTATATGACCAAAGTTGGTTAGCTCTGATTTGCATTAAATTGAAAGCGAAATTCTTATATAATACAAAATAGGAGTTATCATTTTTTATGGTTTATTCATTTTAAAAAAAATTGTTAAAAAAATATTTTTTATGCTCCGAATTCTCCGGCCGACTCTTTATGTAATGACAGTCCTGTCCCTCACAGCATTTCATTGTAAGAAACAACGTCATTATCGATCGCTAAGCGGTGCGATCGGTATTGCATTCCGTGTGCTTCAGTCTTAGTACGAAACGATGTTACCATCGCCCGTTAACATGCCGTTTAGGTATCTCACAGTCTTAGTACGAAACCATGTAATCATTGATCTGTCTGATCCCCTTGCCACGCAGTCGCAGTACGAAGCACGCAGTCGCAGTACGCAGCACAGTGCTAGCGACGATAAGCAACTCCGTCGGTAGGACAGTACATCCGGTCGAATGGACCACAGCGCCAGAAAAATGGAGGACAAAAATTACTAACTATAGTTTCTATCCCATTTTATATATAAATATCTTGTATAGATTCCTTAATACTGTTCTATCCCGGTTAGTGAACTACATCAAAGTATTGCTCAAATTGGTTATGTCATTTCCATGAGATCCCTGACAAAAGTACTAGATGGGGTGAAAAGTACCCTTTTTGAAAGAAGGTTATGGTTCCTTACGGTGCGTTCATATTTAATCAAGCATACCAAATTTTAGTGCGATACTGCCCTCCTTATTTTTGTCTTGACAGCTTATTGTTGTTGACGTGTTTGGCATCACGATTTTCGTTCTCTCATAAAACATTATTTTTAAGAGGCGAAACGGCGAAGGAACCAAAGAAAAAATTTGACAAATATTATGGGGCAAATACTCCGTCAGATTACACCGTGAAATATTGGTTTCGAGAGTTTCGTGTTGGCTCCACTACCGATGAAGTCCGCAGCGGCAGGCCTTCCGATGCAGTTACAGAGGACATTAAATGGTACCTCGAAAAAGGAAAACCCATCAACAGCTAGTATTACTGTGCATTATTGAAGCGATTGAAGGACGAATTCGCAAGACGATGCACCGGCGCACAAACAACCATGGCTAAAATAAGTGACTTAGGGCTCCAATTGCTTCGGCATCCACCTTATTCACCCGATTTGGCTTCTCCGTACTTTTATCTCTTATTTATTTATTTATATAAAGCTAGCGGTTGGTTGTAAACTAAAGGCTAACATAGGATATTGAGTATTGGCTGCTGTGGCCTACCGCTCGATTAAATGTATACAAATTTTAGTATTATACAAAGGACTTAAAGGCTAGATTTTGTGGGTGAGGTTGGCTTTGTGGAGAAAGGAGAGGATTTTCATTGAGTTTTCTGTTGTTGGGTTTGCGAGGAGTTGGGTTGGGCTTTCGTGGGAGAAGGATGAGGTTCTGTGTTGGGAAGGTGCAGTGCAGTCGATTAATATGTGTTTTATATCTATTGTGGCATTATTGCATAAAGGGCAAGTGTTT